ATTGGAGCCCAATTGCTAATTGGGTGTATTGTTGGTATTGATAGTTCGGGAAGCCGTCAGGGCAGCAGCTAGGGATTCTTTCAGTGAGATTCTGCAGTGCGAGGTGAGTCTTCTCACTATATCCATGGGTCGAAGGCACCAATGTCGGCCCATTACGTGTTATGTGGGATGCTAGTTGTCTCTGTGATACTTGCATGGAAGAACCCGGGGGGAGCCCGTGACATTTGGATATCAGACCATGGGGCGAGCCCATGGCATTCCAGGTAAAGACCATGGGGGAGCCCATGGCATATCAGATAAAGACCATGGGGGGAGCCCATGGCAACTATATGTACATTGCATGATATTCTATGGTTGTATGTTGTGTGGTATTTTGGGGAACTCACTAAGCTTTGTGCTTACGGTTTTCAGTTTATGTTTCAGGTACTCCGGTTTTCAAATGAAGGAGCTCGGGGTGATTGCAGTGCATACATCAGTGTTTTCCGCAATATGTGATCTTTGGGATGGGACTCTGATAATTGTTTTATTTGAGATACTCTTCAACGTATTGAACAAAGTTACAATAGTGTTTTGATTGTAATAAAAATGAAATTTTTACCTTGGATTTTTGGGCTGTTACACAAGTGTTTTGGACTAGGAGAATGGGTGGGCTTTAGGGTAAGGCCATGAAAGGGTTTGGGCCCAATTTGGAAAATTGGGCCAAGTATGGGCCTCGAACAGTTAGTTGGATTTTGAACCTTTTGGATTATAGGTTTGGGCCTAAGTCTTGGTCCAAACTAGGCAAGGGGTAAAATGGTCTTTTTACCCTAATTATGGATTGATGGTTATAGATTGGAATCCAATTGTTAATTGGATGCTATTTGGTTTTGATAGCTCGGGGATTCGTCGGACAGCAGCCAGAGATTCAGTCGTGTGATTCAACAGTCGAGGTGAGTTTCCTCACTGGGTTTAGTGGGTCTAAGGCACCAATGCAGACCCTTGTTATTTATGTTAGGATGCTAGAAGTCTGTGTGACCCTTGCATGTGATATGTGCTGCTATGTATATCGGGCGGGGCTCGATGTTGGGCGAGGCCAGATGACTGTATCGTATGCTATTGTTTATGATCATTGCATGTGTTACTATGATTATGTGATATATGTCCATGTGTAAAGTGGGCGGGACCCGATGTTAGGCGGGGCTTAAGAATAACAGATCTGTATACCGAGAGGGGCCCGAAGCCGAGTGGGAATCGATACCGGGCGGGGGCCCAGTATGTAGTTTATTATGTATGATATTGGGTATTTTGGGGAACTCACTAAGCTTTATGCTTACGGTTTTCAGTTTATGTTTCAGGTACTTCTGGTTTCAAGGGGAAGAGCTCGGGATGACTGCATCGCACACACCACATAGTTCCGCTTTTGTGATTACTCTGATTTGAGATGATGTTTGATACACTTATTTTATTTGGATTGTATTGATGATGTCTTTGGAATATTGTTTTTGCTAAATTAAAAATGAAATTTTTGGGTCATAATTTTGGGACGTTACATATATTTCATACAATTCCTCTCTACTTTTATTCATTTTCACACATTTGTGTTGCTTGATCTTTCAAGAACCATGGCTCCCAAAATGCAGAATTTGTCGGAAAATGAAGAAGAGAAGTTAGCATTGACATGGGTGACGGTTACTGAAGACCCAAATAGTCGACCTTCCAGTGATATTTGGGCAAAAGTTGGAAACGTTTTCCATGATTTAATGGGTTGTCGCAGTCGTAATCTTGATGCAATATGTTATAAATTTCTCTTTATGAGGGCAACATGTCGCGAGTTCGGCGGATTTTATAACCATGTTATAAACAACGCACATGAAGACGATCCGGTTGTTGTTGTCATGCATCAATATGAAGAAATAAACCACATACCCTTTAAACACCTCAAAGCTTGACAAAATTTTTAAGGAAACTCCATGGTGGAATAATTAAAAAAATGGGGTTTAGAAACTAGTTTAAGTTGTTTTTGTGCTTGCATTTTAATGTTTTTTTCTATTTTATTTTAGTTGTTTTTTTAAATTGTGTAATGTTTTTTAATCGAACAAAAAACTAGTTTAAAAAAAAATATGTTTTTATTGTATTTGGATTTTGTATGTATTTTTGAATTAAGTTTTATTTTAGAAAAACGAGGTAGAATGGTGTGGTAGTGGTGGGTATATCATAGCTTTAGTGGTAGTTAATGGTGATGATGTGGCATCCACCACTATAATGGTTAGTAGTGGGTATAACGGATGGTCTTATGTTTTCGTGGTTGATCTGGCCCTTTCACGACATGGGTTTGTGCGGACATCACCCCAGAGGGTTGGACATGCACATCATCATTTCCCACTCAATATCATCCTTATTTGATTCCACGTGATCACTCATAGAACCCTCACTACGGGTCTTTAAAAATAACTTTATCCAAAAATTCGCTCCTAAAACCTGAAAATCTAATTCAAAATTATCTGAAGTTTCATATATCCATAATCAGATATCTAATTTTTTGTATTCTGATTGGGATAGTCATTTTCTAAGTGTGGGATATTTTGGATATTCGATATCCGAAATATTTATTTTATTGTTTTTTTTTTAATTCAAAATATAATAGATTAGGAGAGGTAGTTGTTGGATGTAGTTCCGTGACTTTACTTATGCATTTTCATTAGTTTTTAGTACGAAGATTATGTCAAAGGGCCTTTTCATTTAGTTTCTGTTACGGAAAGTTAATATTTCACCTAATTGGTTAATTAGTCAAATGAAAAATAAAACAATCTTAGTTTATAATAGCTAGTGTATAATGTAAAGAGAAAAAGAAAAATGAAAGTTTAGTATTTTTGGATACCCGAGTTAATATCCAAATTCATATCCAAAATTTTAGATATCTGAATTTCGGATACGGATTCAGATATCAATATCCGTTATCTGAAATTTCGGATATACGATTTTGAACACCCTAACCCTTACACAATTCGATTGGATATGTTTTAAGGGCATCTCCAATCCATACAACCCTCATCCTACTCCACATCACCATTCCACTTATATATAACTTTGTCTTAAACATCTCAAATCCATACAACCATATGTAAGTCCACCTCACTCCACATATTTATCATATTATTTTTATATTTATCATTGAAAAATAAAAAATAAAAATCCATACAATCATTTTATGATCATACAACCCAAAAACCTATACCACTTCATATCACCGTCATCCAACCCATACCATACTCATAACACTCCACATCACCCTCGTACAACCTCCATTGGAGATGCTTTAAGAGCATATATAATGAATGTTTTAATGTGAGAGTTGAGTGATGTGGCATGCCTAATTAACATTCAATAGATTAAACTATATCATCGTGGGATATTGTTGTATTAACGATTCAATGGATATAAAGTTTAATGATCATTGAACTCTTAAATGGAAAAAATGAAAGTTTCTAATAAATGATTTCTCTTTTTAAAAATATTTCTTATTAAACATCGTAGAGTTCAATATATTATAAGAAAAAGAAATAATATTGTTGTATGAAGATTATATAAATGATATATCAATCCATTAAACTATAAACAAAATTCAATATATTATAAGAAAAAAAGAGTATTGTTGTATGAAGATTAGATAAATGATATATCAATCCATTAAACTATAAAGAGTTCAATATATTATGGATGTCCTAATTAAATAAGACTACTGTGGTAATTTTTACCGACGAAATTTGTGACGGATTTCAACAGCCATTAGAACTTCTTTGACCAAATTAACCACGCAGTGACGGAGTTCCGGCGGACACTTTTCGCGACGGATTCCGACGGATACTTATTAGTGACGGAGTTCCGACGAACACCTTTCCCGACGGATTACCAAAGGAATATTCAGTGACGAATTACCAATATAAAAGCAATTTCTCAATCATTGAAATATAGAGCATCAAAGAGCATCCAAGCGTGTCACGAGATGCGGAATTAAAATTCTTTTGCTACTTTTGGTATGAGATAAAGATAATCTGTTGTAATTGACGATTAGACTAGCCTTGCTTTATGTCAATTATTATTTGTTTCCCTTTTGTCGTTATTTTATGCTGTTGTATTGCTTTAAACCTCAATCCTACACATTAGAATTCACCATGAAGTAGACATCACTTAAATGTTGCTATATGGATTTTAGCATGATGTGTCAAATACAAAGGGCAAAACAATCTCCACGTGAGCCTAAATTGCTTTTCTAGCTAGAAAGAAAAAGTGTCGAGCAAAAAGAACCCATAATGTGCAATAATAACAAAGGAAACAAAATTTTCATTGAGAAAGTGAACACAGATGCTTTGAAAAGGATAAACTGATTCCCCACTTTTATCTAGTAACTAACCAAAAGAATTCAAAGCCTAAGTCGACCCTGCTGATCCAAGTCGAAGGCTTTCAAAGTCTAAATGTATGTTTATGCTACTGCTATTGGCAGCATATATAATATATATTGCGCTTTGGTCTTTCCCAATTCTCTCGACCTGTATTTTTTTATAAATGAAGATCAACACAATATGGGTTTTAAGTGAAATATACAAGGAGAATATATATTGACGTTGGTTTGGAAAATATATTTGTGGCATACCTGTGGTCATAAATATTAGTACTTATTTAAAAACATAGAAAAGTACATATAAACGTAAAAAAAGTATATCAAAATACCTGGAAAAAAAACATGCAAGAAATATAATTGGAATGTATTTATGAAGTGTTGACCACAACTAAGTGACTAAACACGTGAATGGTAGTGCATGAATAACTGCAAATAATAATCTGTGAAAAAAATTCATGCAGAAACACACAGAGATCGAAAATTACAGTACACGAAAAACACGTCAGATCAAAGAATTATGACGAAAGCATAGGGTGTGTCTTTTGACTTTCTAAATAAAGATTCATTTTCTGGTGCAGTATCCCATTATAAGTACAGTCTTACACATAAGTTCATCATCCAGAATATTCAACTTGTTTTTCAAATAAGTTTCATTCCATCTTCTCCAATAAATCTTTTGTCACTTACACTTTTTATTTGCAGATGTTTTCCATTTAATATCTCTGCAATTTGATCATCACTTTCCACCCTTTGTGTGTTTTTTTCTCTCGATTGCTGCTTGAAAGACAATAAGATGGATACCGATCATCTAAGAACTCTCGTAGGAGTACTCGGTATAAATCTTTCATATTCATGTTTCATTTTGCTCGATGCATGTATATCTTTCTTATTTCACTATACTAATCTTTCATAATTATAAACTTAAAATATTTTTTCAAACATGGTAATGAGCTTACGAAAATTTACAGTTTTTCATACAAATACTATAACTTTCCAACTCAGATCTACGTAACCCACTGAGTTAGTGACTTAGTGTTATAGCTTTATGACGTAACTTGAGTACAGGTGTCAGATCATGGCATTGTCCTTTTTTTCATCTTACATTATTTTACAAAGAACTGCAGTTTTGAATACAAATTTACTATTTTTTGTCTAACTTCTGTGCATTTTGTGCTTGCAGGGAACATTATATCCGGCATTCTCTTTCTCTCCCCTATGTAATTTCTCATTCTCTTTAATAATTACTTTCTAAAAGGTTGTAACTTTTTTCATGAAATGACAAAGCACCCCCATCCTTTTGATTGTCACACAATTAATATACCTGGCCTTGTTTTTCATTTATTCAACCAAATTTGTAAAATTTGTATCTCAAGACACAGCTTTAGTTGCCAAAACTTTGTTGTAATTTATTTTAAAATCTACAGCCCAACATTTCTGAGGATTATCAAGGCAAAATCAGTCCAAGCCTACAAGCCAGATCCCTATGTTGCCACTCTTCTCAATTGTTCAGTGTGGATGTTCTATGGTCTCCCAATCGTTCATCCTGATAGTCTTTTGATCATTACAATCAATGGTGCTGGATTCATCATTGAAGCTGTTTTCATCACGATCTTCTTCACCTATTCTACTTGGGGTGGTCGAGTATGCACACAATCATCCCCCCCTAATGAACTCCGGTCTTTTTTTATTTTTTCTGTTTTCTTGTATGTGTGTATACTAAACATTTAAAAACTTTACAAATATGCAGAAAAAGCTCTTGATGGTTCTCATTTTCGAGGTCGTTTTTGTTGCTGGAGTTGTCGTAGTTACATTGATGTGCTTCCACACATACGAATCAAGATCTATGGTTGTTGGATTAATTTGCATCGTTTTCAACATTCTCATGTATGCGTCTCCATTGACTGTCATGGTAATTAAGCTTCCTTTTCTATTTTACCATTGTTTTTACTTAAAGTTATTACTGTTCATATATACAAGTAACTGATCAAATACAATGTAACGGAACACAGAGAATGGTGATTAAGACAAAAAGTGTCAAGTACATGCCATTCCCCTTGGCGCTTGCTAGCTTCGCCAACTCAATTGTTTGGTGTGGTTATGCTCTGCTCAAATTTGATCCCTACATCTTGGTAAGCTTTAATATATTCTTTTAATTTCCACACTCACCAACATTTCTTTTGTTCTTATGACATTTTTATGATATTAATTAATCCTTTCTTGGATCTTTTTTACGTACACCAACAGGTTCCAAATGCTCTAGGGAGTATCTCGTCTATAATTCAACTCGTACTGTATGCAACCTACTACAGCACCACCAATTGGGATGATGACGATGATATTCAAATGTCAGGATCTTCCAAAGCGTAAGCATATAAATCCAAGTAATAATTAAGCATCGGCGTATATGGATTCAAGGGAAACTAAACATGTATGCATGTTTTCGGTTTTATGTTACTTACGACATAAGATGTAAGGGGTGGCACTGAGAGTTATTGTAACCAGCAGTGGTTTTTTGTATCCCTACATAATTGGGGGGATTTTTTGAAACTTAAAGGTTTAGTGTGAGAGTTCATGCATGTTCCAAAGGATAACAATTCGATTGATTTGAAATAAAAGAATTCATTCACTTTTTTTTGTGGACCCAATGCTATAATGATTGTGTACATTTATTTTTTTTTTGCAATTTTGTTATATTTCACCAAAATAACCGTACAAGCATCTTCAACCATACATATCTTTACACTTTATTTTTATAAATTAAGATATTGTTTAGAGTGAACTCCAATCGTGCTTTTTACACTGCTTTTTACACTTAGACCAACTCATGCCCGGCCCTGACATTTCGGAGGCCTTGTGTAAAAACTAAAATGAGGCCCCATAAAAATTTCTTGTAAATATTATTAACTACATTTGCTACCACTAATTCAAAACATAAAAGTTGCTAAAAAACATCTCATAAATTCACCACCACAAAATAATATCTTCATCACTCATTAGTAATCAAATAAAACTGTAAAACTGTTATAAACAACTTTTCAAAAAAAAAAACAACTCATTACTATTTTCTAAACATTGACCTTCTAGCATTTTTAAAAGAAAATTCATCTATGAGACTTTCATAATCAATATTCTCAAGAAACTCGTTCTCAATCGAAATCAATGCCAAAGCGTTTAATCGAAACTCGTCACCAACTCCAACCTTACCACTAAAAATTACAACCAAAATTCATTTTAATTCTAACAACACACTAAAAATTACACTAAAACATATTTTAATATTATAAAATATAAAACAATAATTATAAAAACTAAAAAGCAAAAATAAAAGCCATTTTTAATGGTTGATTGGAGCATTTTTGACATCTGTAACATAAAAATAGAGATCCATTGGAGATGCTGTGTTTGGAATTGTTTGAAATGTTTATTGAATTATTGTGGTTTGATATTAGTAATAAGGAGTTTTAAAAGTTTAGATATGAATATAATTTCATAAGCACTTCTTATTGATTTAATGAAGGAGGTTTTGATAAGTTAATTTCTCCTTACTTATTGACGTATTTAAGGAGTTTTTGATAAGTTATTTAATAATTACACATATAAGCATCATTTGCTAAACATTAAAAACTAATACTTATCATTGTATTACTTTTAATACTGCATAAGTTAATAAGAAATTTTAATAAACAAACAAGCAATCCAAGACACCCCCTAAAAAGCATATTCCAAGAATATTTCTATATATTCTCCAAGTTCATTAGAGTTTTTTAAATACCCTTCAAATTACAATGTTTTACATATTTTCTAACATATTTTTGTTATGATAAATTTATATTATGTCAATTTGAGTTTTTGTAAAATACTGTGTATGTCTATTCGAATTTTTATAAAATATTTATGTATGTCAATGGACAATTAATTAAATATGGTATCGGATTATATAAACACAAGATTAAATTAATAAAGAAAAATTCAAATTATATAAATACACAATTAAAACAAGTTAAATCAACTAGAACATAATAAACAAGATTATATTTGAATATTAACACTCTAAATTTAAAATGTTACTGTTCATTTCTTTATTTATAGATTGTAAAATAGAGTTGGGTTAGATAAATATCTCTATTTTACACTCTATAAATTAAAGATAAACTTCAAAATAGAGTAGGCCTTAAGAAAAATACAAAATTAATCATCATGTTCGACAAAATGGCAAGCTTAATTAGAACTAAATAATAAGCTCCCAACTGTTTTTTCTAACAAAAAACACGTACAAAATGATTTTCCCTAAGAAATTCTAAAATTTCAAACTATGATTTAGCTCGTGCTTACAAGATGACAGGATGAAAAAAAAATAACTCATAAAGTTTCCATGGTTGAGTTGACATTATAAAAAAAATGGCCAATAGTGACCAGAAATTTAAAGAAACAAGATCCATGAGATGCAAGAAATAGTTTATAATACTATATATATATATATATATATATATATATATATATATATATATATATATATATATATATATATATATATATGTGTGTGTGTGTGTGTGTGTGTGTTTGTCTTAATTCGTCTTTCATTAAAGGATTTTTTGGATATCTTTTCGAACAAGAAAGACTGAATTCAAGATTTTGTCGAATCACTGCTGCTGACTTCAACAATTTCATTGCAAATGCTGGCTTACATGAATTCAGTCTAGGGGGTAGGAAATTCACTTACCTCTGTGATGATGGGAGAAAACTCAGTAAACTTGATAGATACCTGGTTTGTTCCAATTTCATATATCACCAACCTCTCACAACTGTTATTGTACTGCCTCGAGAATATTCAGATCATACCCCGTTAGTTCTCAAGCCGTCGAATCAGGATTTTGGGCCACCCCCATTTAGATTCTTCAATTCGTGGATACATAGGGAGGATTTTGACGCAACATTCAGTAACGCATGGAACTCATTTATCGGTTTTGGCACTCCAGATATGTTTCTAATGGCCAAACTTCGATTTGTCAGGAAAGAAATTAGCAAATGGCGAAACACAGAAACTGCCAAGGAATCAAAGTTGTTGTCCCAATTAAAGAAGAGAGTGGCCGATATTGAAGTTCTCGCTGAAACCAGGACATTATCGGTGGGGGAATTAACTGAAAGAAGAGATTGTAAAGGTAAAATTCGAGAATTGGAGTATTTCGCTAGAATAGATATCCAGCAAAAAGCAAAAATTCGTTGGATATCGGATGGGGACGAAAATTCCAGATTTTTTCACAATGCAATAAAGATCAAAGGTAGGAAAAATAGACTGCATGGATTGGTAATTGATGGGAGATGAAACACAGATCCGAGTGACATTAAAAGAGAGGTACATAGATTCTTCGGGAACAAATTCGAAGATAAGTGGCCCATAAGACCCAAGCTAATCAGCGATGAGTTCAAAACACTCTCATCAGATCAAAGAAGGTTTCTTGATGCACCCATCACTAATGTTGAAATAAAACAAGCAGTTTGGAGTTGTGGTGGTGACAAATCGCCTGGCCCAGATGGGTACACATTCAAGGTGCTGAAAAACAAATGGGAGATAATAAAACATGACATCATTCATTTTGTATCTTACTTTGAAACGTTTGGTCAACTAGCGAAGGGATGCAACTCTTCCTTCATTACCCTCATCCCAAAAGTCAAAGACCCGTTGAATCTTGGAGATTACAGGCCAATCAGTCTCATAGGCTGCATGTATAAGATCGTGGCCAAGATCCTTGCACTGAGATTAAAAACGGTGATGGGCTCTATAATTGATGATGTACAATCAGCCTACATTGAAGGAAGACACATCTTGGAGGGACCATTAATCTTAAACGAAGTATGCTCATGGGCAAAAAAAGCAAAGGAAAAGGTGTTCCTACTAAAAATCGATTTTGAAAAGGCTTTTGACTCAATCAATTGGGGGTATCTTGATTCAATTATGGAGCAGATGGGTTTCAGTAGCAAATGGCGAAGCTTGATACATGGTTGTCTTTCATCGTCCAGGGCCTCAGTTCTGATAAACGGCTCCCCCACAGATGAGTTTCCAATCTCCAAAGGTGTGAGACAAGGAGACCCGCTCTCTCCTTTCCTCTTCATCATAGCTATGGAAGGCTTGAATATTGCTATAAAAAACGCGATAAAAAAATCCCTCATCGATGGACTCCCATTACCACACAACGGGCCGACCTTGTCACATCTATTCTATGCGGATGATGCGATCTTCATTGGAAGATGGAATACGAGATGCATCAAAAACTTGGCCAAAATTTTAAAATGTTTCCACATCTGCTCTGGATTGAAAGTTAACTTCCACAAATCACGTTTATTTGGTATTGGTGTCACTGATTTGGAACTACAGATCCAAGCACGTGTGATTGGATGTTTAAAGGGCACACTACCCTTCATATATCTTGGAGTTCCAACAGGTGCAAACATGGCATTGAAGAAAAATTGGAAACCTATAATCGATAAATTTCACTCGCGTCATTGATGAACTCGAAAAAACAAGAAGGAGGTTTCTTTGGAGTGGGAAAGACTCAAATTCTAAGATACATTGGGTATCCTGGTTGAAAATAGTAGCTTCTAAAAAAGACGGTGGGCTAGGTGTGGGCACTCTAAAAGCTCAAAATTTGGCATTATTAACAAAATGGTGGTGGAGACTCAAAGAAAAGTCGAAAGGTTTATGGAGAGAATGTATGAATAGCATACATAACCTTAAGAAGAAACCAGTCACCACTATTGCAAAATCAACGATTCCAGGTGTTTGGAGCAATATTGCCAAGGCAATTAAATCCCTGTCTGAATTCGATATCAATTATCATGACCTTTTCACCTTAAACCCCGGTTCCAATATCAACATCTTATTCTGGAAAGACCGTTGGTGCGGCCCTGTGACTCTATAGGAACAGTTTCCAAGACTATATGATCTAGAAGAAGTAAAATCATGTCTAGTCTCTGATAGACTTGACAACTCTGGCTTTCATTGGAAATGGAAATCACGTGGCATGAAGGTAGAAGAGCTGGACGATCTGCAAAGGTTAAGTAATATGATCCAGGGAACAAACACGGAGCCGACTGATAATGGGTTCCGTTTTAATCTAAACCCAGATGGTAAATATACTGTCAATGCCTTACGCCAACGGATTGATTCCAATCCTATCCCTTTCGATGGAACAGTGATAAGTTGGTCAAAATCGATCCCCTTGAAAATCAGATGTTTCATATGGAGGGCAGTTTTGGATAGGCTCCCGGTGGCAATGAATCTTGCAAGGAGAGGAGTAAGTTTAGAATCATCCACATGTCCCCTGTGTAACAATGATCAAGAATCAGGAGACCATCTCTTAATCAGGTGTGAGGTAGCAATGGAGGCTAGGGCGTGGATACTAAAATGGTATGGCATACCTGTTATCCCATTTGATAATGTAGGTGAATTTATCAATTTCGCAGCCACGTAGGGAAGTTGTTCTAAGAGGAAAAAAAGGCTCAATGCGGTGCTTTACGGGTTATTATGGTTCATCTGGTTGGCCCGGAATAACAGGTTGTTCAAAGGAATACAGACGAACCCGGCTAGGATTGCAGACGAGGTGGTGTCCCAAACTTTT